TTTTATTTTTTTTGTGAAGAGATCAGCCCTGTGCTAACATCTGCCAATCCTCCTCTTTTTTTGCTGAGGAAGACTGGCCTTGGGCTAACATCGGTGTCCATCTTCCTACACTTTATATGGGATGCCGCAACAGCATGGCTTGCCCAGCAGTGAGTCAGTGCATGACCAGGATCCGAACTAGCAAACGCCGGGCCGCCGCAGTGGAGCGCACGCACTTAACCGCTTGCGCCACCAGGACAGCCCCTATATGTCTTTAATATTTAAAATGACTTTCTAGTATACAACATATAGTTGGATCTTATTTTTTGATCCACTGTGACAATCTCTTTTATTTGGGGCATACAGATTATTGACATTCAAAGTGATTATTGATATAGTTGGACTAATATATATCATATTTGTTTCTGTTTTCCATTTGTTTTCCTGTTCTTTGTTCTTATTTTTGTCTTCTACACTGTTTCTGCCTATTGTAGTTTTTAATAGAACATGTTATATGATTCCGTTTTCTCTCCTTTCTTAGCATATAGGTTATACTTTTTACTTTTTTAACCTTTTTAATGGTTGTCTAAATTTTGCAATATAAATTTCCAACTAATCCAATCTCCTTTTAAATAATGCTATACAGTTTCACAAGTAGTGTGAGCACCTTATAATAACAAAATAATCCTAATTCCTCTCTCTTATCCTTTGTACCATTATTGTCATTAGTTAGACTTATACACAAGCATACATAAGAAAATATATATGTACAAGGGTTACATAATAAAATATATTGTTGCTATCATTATTTTGGACAAACTGTTATTTATTAGATTAAAAATATGAAAAACTAAAATTTTTAATTTACCTCCACTTATTCCTTCTCTAATGCTCTTCCTTTCGTTATGTAAATATAAGTTTTTGATCTATATTATTTTCCTTCTCTCTAAAGAACTTCTTTTAATATTTCGTAAAATAGACCTACTGGCAACAAATTCTCTCAGCTTTTGTTTGTCTGAGAAACTCTTTATCTCTCCTTCACTGTTGAAGAATAATTGCACAGGGAACAGAATTCTAGGTTGATGGGTTTCTTCTCTCAATGCTTTAAATATTCCATTGTATTATGTTGTTGCTTACATGGTTTCGTAGGAGAAGGCTGATGTAATTCTTGTCTTTGCTACCCTATAGGTAATGTGTTTTTCCCCTTTGACTTCTTTCAGGGTTTTATTCTTTATCTGTGATTTTCTGTAGTTGGAAAATAATATGTCTAAGTATAGCTTTTTTCCTCATTTACACTGCTCGGTGTTCTCTGAGCTTCCTGGATCTGTGGTTTGGTTTCTGACATAAATTTGGAGAAATTCTGTGTCATTCATGTTTCGAGTATTTCTTCTGTCTCTTCTCTTTCTTCTCCTTCTGATATTCCAATCACGCACATGTTCTACTTTTTGTAGTTGTCCCACAGTTCTTGGGTATTCTGTTCTAGTTCTTTTTTTGTTGTAGTCTTTTTTTCCTTGGTTTTTAATTTTGAAGGTTTCTATTTAGATATAATCAGACTCAGAGATTCTTTCCTCAGCTGTGCCCAGTTCGCTAATAAGCCCATCAAAGGCATTCTTCATTTCTGTCACAGTGTTTTTTATCTCTAGTATTTGTTTTTGATTCTTTCATGGAATTTCCACCTCTCTGCTTACATTAGCCATCTGTTCTTGCATGCTGTCTCCTTTATCCATTAGAGCCCTTACATATTAATCATAGTGGTTTTAAATCCCTGGTCTTATAATTACAACATCCCTGCCATACCTGAGTCTGATTCTGATGCTTGACCTGTCTCTTCAAGCTGTGTTTTTTGCCTTTCAGTATGTCATGTAATTTTTTCTTGATAGCAGGTATGATGTACTGGATAAAATAGCTGTAAACTGCTGTAAATAGGCCTTTAATAATGTAGTGACAAGGTAGGGGTAAAAGGGAAGAATTGTATAGTTCTATGATTAGGTCTGTTTTTTAGTGATCCTGTTCCTCAAGACTGTAAATCTCACACACACCTCTCAATCCCTCCCTCCCTTAGGTGGGACTAGATGACTAGAGTGGACTGGAGTTGGATATTTCTCTTCCCCTATGTCAGTTAGTCTCTGATAAAACCCCCACAGGTTAGGCTGTGGTTAACTATTTTCTCCTGAGGATAGACTTTGTTAAGAAGAACAGAATGTTCTGGTCTATTTCAAAATGCTTCCTTTTCCCCTTCCCCCGCTGGAAGCAAAAGGAGATTTTTTTCAGATATTCTCTGTGGGAACCTGGTAGAGCTCCATGAAGTAAAACTCACAAAAGTGTGGGGGACCCCAATGACTGGGTCACCATGAGTTTTTATTCCTCAGACTTACCCACACTGAGCCTCCTGCAATTCCTCAATTATAACTCAGCTTTCCCTACTATGGCACTGGTTGACACAAGGGTTTCAGCTAATGGGTTTCTGCTCTGGTAAGCGTGGTTCTCTGTATTTGCCTGTCAGTCTCTCCATTTTCGGTGGCAGTGTTTTGCTTTGGGACCTTACTTCTCTCACAGATCTTAGAAGAGTTGAGTTTTTGGTTCAGATTTTTACTTGTTATTAGGGTGGAGTGGCAACTTCCAAACTTCTTCTAAACTTCTTTCAAGCTGGACCACAAACTAGAACAAGTAGTGACTTATTCAAGATAGAAATTTATTTTCATCTTCATGAATACCCAATTGTAGGAAGTCCAGGACTGATATGACACAATGTTCTATAATCTAGGCTGCCTCCAGCTTTCCGTTCTACCACCCTGATTGTGGCTTCATTCTCATGGCCTACATGGAATTCCACTCATGATATATATGTTCCAAAAACAAGATTGGAGGAAGGCAGAAAAAAGACAAAAAGGCATTACCAATTGTCTTTTGGGGAAATTTTCCAGAATCTGCCACACAATACTTCAACTCATGACAGGGTATGGTAAACTGAAAAATGGCCTGCCAAGATGTCTACACCTTAATCCCCAAACCCCTGTGAGTGTCACATTATAAGTTATTATTCTCAAGCTGCCATAACAAAATACCATAGACTGGGTGGCTTAAACAACAAAAAGTTATTTTCTCATAGTTCTGAAAGCTGGAAGCCTAAGATCAAGATTATAGCTGATTCATTTTCTGGTAAGGGTTCTCTTCCTGGTTTGCAGACAAGCTTTTTTTCTTTCTGTCATCACGTGGCCTTTCCTTGGTGCATACATGGGTGAGGGTAGAGAGAACAGGCACTCTGGTGTCTCTCCTTATAAGGACACTAATCCTATCAGATCAGGGCCTCATCTTTATCACCTCATTTAACTTTAATTATTTCCTTAGGGGCCCCATCTCCCCAAAATGTAGCCACATTGGGGATTAGGGCTTTAACATGTATTTATTGGGGGTAACATAAATATTCAGTCCACAACACTTTATACGGCAAAAGGAGTTTGCAGATGTGATTAAGGACCTTGAGAGGTTAATTATCTGGAGGGAGAAGAGTTTATTGTTTAACCACAAGGGTTCTTAAAGAGGGAGTCAGGAAATAAGAGAAGTAGGAGCTGTGACAATGGAAGCAAGAGGTTGGAGTTATGTGAGGTAAAGGTCCCAAGCCACAGCCACGGAATGCAGGTAATTGGCAAAAACTAGAAAAGGCAAGGAAATGAATTCTCCCCTATAGCCTCCAGAAAGAACTAGCCTAGGAAGAAGCAACTGACATTAGACACAGAAATCCCAGGTAATTGGTAAGAATGCTTCTTTATGTAGACAATATTTACAATATTGGGTACTTTTGCACTCTAAAATTATAACCATGTATAACTACACTATGGCCACATGAGACATAGCATATAAAAAATGTAGAAATACACTTAGGTCATTACTACTAACTGATAAATTAGGAATGCTCTATATAAACCTAAGTGTTACTTTACCATTAAATAGTTTTATTTAAAAAGAAATGATAAAATTGTATCTGATAAATTAGATATTTAGCAAAGGCTCTCAAACTTTTGGGTCACAGGACTCCTTTATACTCTAAAAAATTATGAGGCCCCTAAAGAACTTCTGTTTATATGTTTCATATCTTTCAATATTTACCATATTGAACATTAAAAGTGTAAAGTGTTTAATATATTAATTAATTATTTTAAAATAACAATAATAAACCTGTTCCATGTTCAGAAATTATGTAATTTTATAAAACAGAACTATATGTCCAAAAAAATTTAGTGAGAAGAGTGAGATTATTCTACACTTTTGCAAATCTTTTAATGTCTGGCTTAATAGAAGACAGTTTTCACATTTGCTTATACATTCAATCCTTTACAAGTCATGTAGCCTCTAAAAAAGCTCCAAGATATGAGAGAATGAGAGTAAAAAAAGAAAAATAATGTCTTAGTATTATTATTAAAACTATTTTGGCATTCTGGATCCCCTAAAAGGATTTTAAAAACCCACAGTGGTCCCTGGATTACACTTTGAGAATCGTTATTGTACAGAAGAGCCACAGAGAAAAATGTCACAAAATTGGACTGTTGATAAGAAGGCCAATCAAAATATATGAAAATACTCAAAATTGTAAAGGAATAGAGTTTGGAGATTATATCAAGGTGATAAAGTAAATTCTAAGAATAAATGTTCTCCACAATTTCTCTTGGGTCAAAAGAAAGAAAAAAAACAGGAATATTTAGAAAATAATAATAATGAGACTACTACTCTCAAAACTATTAGACACAATATTATCTGCACCAAGAGGTAAATAAAGGTATAATGTTGAATGTGTTCATTAAGAATCAGATAAATTTGAGAGAACTATGAATTCAAATAAATAAGTATGAAAAATATTTTTAAAGTATATCTAAAAATATGCTGGAAAGCCAGAAAGGGAAAATAAAGATAAAATAAGCATGACACAAGAAATAACCTTAAAAAAAAACCTAGTAGAAAGAGACAATTTTAGTTATATTAAAAGTTTGTTTGAATCGACTCAAGAATTTTTTAATTTGAATCATAGAATGATGAGAAATGACCAAAAAATTGTTGTCAAAGATTTACACACTAAAAAAACCACAGGACTTTGACAATTATATGGGCAAGGCTTATTAGTAAATATTCAAAAAATACCTAATTTCTGTATTCCTTAAATTGTTCCAAAGCACAGGAAAAAGTGTTAGACAATAACAAAGGGCAATTTTTAGAGAAGACATAAGAATGTCATTATAAAGCTTCTTTCTTAGAATTATATAAGCTAGAATAACATCCCAGAAGCTCATTGATAATAAAGGTCAGTTTCCAGTATAAGGAAACACTCTTACTTCACAAAACAATGAAATTAAAAAATATATCTATCCATTAGTTTCTTTTTAAACCCCACATATAAATGAGGTGAGGGCCAGCCCCAGTGGCCTGGTAATTGAGTTCAGCGCACTCCGCTTGGGTGGCCCGAGTTCAGTTCCCAGCAGCATACCTACACCACTTGTCAGTGGCCAGGCGGTGGCGGCAGCCCACATACAAAAAATAGAGGAAGACTGGCAACAGATGTTAGCTCAGGGCAAATCTTCCTCAGCAAAAAATAAATAAATACATAAATAAATGAGGCGACCCATTCCACATCTCCTGAATCTAAGATCAACCTTCTCAATATTTCCTTAGTATCACTTACTGTTAAACTAGATAAAGAAGAGGGCAAAAATAGATACAATATTTCTTGGCTTATAATATTATGGAGCTGATTATTCTCTCCCCTGCTCAACATATTTACCTGAGTTTAAAAGTAGGTGTAACAAAACAAAAACTCAAATATGATTAGTTACTTGAATTTCTAAAATTAGGGCAATGTCACCCTGCCGTGCAAGCTGTGCTCTGCACCACTCCAGGAAACGTCATCCACATAGACTGTGATGTAAATGCACTTGTGCGTTGTGCAATGCAGCAGCCCTGAGAAAGGTGAATCCTTCTCTTTCCTCTCTTACTCACATAGGCCATGTGATAAATCATCTCATTTTTCTAATGGTAAAAAGAGAACTACACCTCAACAAAGAATTTATGAAAAGACACTCGATATCGTATGTCATTAGGGAACCGCAAATTAAAGCAACAATGTGATACTATTACATACCTATTACAAGGGCCAAAATCCAGAACACTGACAACACCAAATGCTGGTATGTATATGGAGCAACAGGAATTCTCATTCATTGCCGGTGGAAATGCACAATGGTATAGCCACTTTGGAAGATATTTTGACAGTTTTTTTACAAAACTAAACGTACTCTGACCACGTGACCCAGCAGTCATGGTCCCTGGTATTTACCCAAACAAACTGAAAATTTAGGTCCACACAAAAACCTGCACGTGGATGTTTAAAGCAACTTTGTTTATAAATGCCAAAACATGCAAGCAACCAAGATGTCCTTCAATAGACAAATGGATAAATAAACTGTAGCACATTCAGACAATGATATATTATTTAGTGCTAAAAAGAAATGAGTTATTAAGCCATGAAAAGACATGAAGAAAACCTAAATGCATATTACTAAGTGAAAGAAGCCAATCTGCAAAGGTTACGTACTATATGATTCCAACTATATGACATTCCAGAGAAAGAAAAACTATGGAGACAGTAAAAAGATCTTTGGTTGCCAAGGGTTAGAGGGAGAGAGGGACAAACAGGCAGAGTACAGAGAACTTTTAGGGCAATGAAACTATTCTGTATAATACTCTAATAATGGATACATGTCATTATATATTTGCCAAAACCCACAGAAGGTACAACACTGAGAGTGAACCCTAATGTAAACTATAGACTTTGAGTGATAAAGATGTGTCAATGTAGGTTCATCAGTTGTAACAAATGTACAACTGTGGCATGGAATGTCAATAGTGGGGGAGGTTGTGCATGTGTGGGGACAGGGAATATATGGGAACTCTTTACACTTTCTACTAATTTTGCTGTGAATCTAAGAGTGCTTTAAAAAAATTGTTTATTAACTAAAAAGGGCACTGATAAATGTGGAATATGATATGAAATAGAGGTTTTTGAAAGCAATGTTTCTATATTTATATTATAAAAATGCAGGTAAAATCTTTTTACCCACAATGCAAAAACTTTTTTTGTTTTTATTATGTAAATAAAACATGATTTCTGATTAGGAAAAAAAGAAGATATAAAACTGTCAGAAAGAAAGCAATAATGACCTAAAATTCTGCCATTTTACCACTACCAGATTAATGGAAGGGGTTCACAGGCGGATTGCAGTTGAGAATATTTTGTTCTACTTTGTTTTACAAAAATGGTGTTCAACATAGTTGAATGGCGTTCAACTATGTATATAGTTCTATCAGTATTAGTTATGAGAAAAATTAATCTTTGGGAGCAAGAGGAAAAATAATAAAAAAATAATCTAGAAGTCAACCAAATCAGCAGTTCTAAAGTAAATCTTCCTTTAGTATAGATGACTGCCTATTAGACTATGTCCAGTGTTTCCAGGACCTGGGCAATGCCATCGAGTACAAGATGTGAACATTCAATGTGTTAGAAGTGGTTCCAATTAAGAGTCCCTCACAGAAAAATTGGATTGGAGTGCCCTATCGATCCTTTTCCTCATGTTATTGATAATCAAGGAGAACATATGCACCCTCTCCAGAAGATGAGTCAAGACAAAAGTATGAAATTTTAATCTTCACGCCTCAAGGAGGGAGGGTGTTGTTCAAGTTAAAAGAAAAAAATTAGACCGTGATTCTAGGAGGTGAGCTATCAAAGAAGACAGAGATCCACAACATACAGACTTGTCCTTTCTTTCCATGAGGTTGAAACAGTAAAGGTTCCTGGCCATTCCTCTTTCTTATGTCTTAGATGATTTCTTTCCTTCCTAACAATATATGACTAAGCCAACTTAAGGAAGCTTCAGACGTGGGGGTGTGGGGGTAGGAGGAAAGAGGGCAATTAAGCTGCCTCTGAAATAAATATTTATGACAAATTGCTTTCCCCTACTCTGAATCTCTTTCCTTTTGACGCCAATGCTATGACTTTCTCTCATTCTATATCTCTTCTAAAATTCATGTTTGCAGTGTAGGAAATAAGTGAAAGAAAACTATTCAAGCCAACAAAACATAGGAAATGAAGAATATCTCACAGTCTAGCCCAGGTTACAAAAATTTTGCAATGGAATTATTCAAAGCCCCAGTTAGGAACTGCTTTGTTTGCTATTACTCCCTGTACATATATTTAACTTGATAACCTGTGAGGAAAAGAGTTGACTATGTCATAGCAGGTTTCAAATATTCTTGGGTATCCCAGCATAATCCATTATAATAGTATCTAGATTTCCCTGGAATCTATTGTAACAATCTACAAGTTTCCCTAAAACTAGGTCTAATTGATAACCATAATTCTGTATTTATGTCAGCCTATTCTGCAAGAGGAGCAACCACATTGTGACTAATATCTGTAAGCCACGGATAAATGATGTCCCTAGCAATTGTTCCAGATCCTTAATTTCTTCTATTCTGACCCAGTTGTTATCAGATTCCTTTCTCATGGCTCCAGACTTTTGGTGCTGTGTCTCATCTACAGTTTATTCTTGCACCATAAACTCTGGATGTTTATATGGGCTTCTGGCTTTGTAGCATGGCATTTCCTAAATGAATTTAAGTTGAATTCACTCCTCTGGCTCTTTCCATTTTAGGTTAATGAATATGGGAAGTTTTAAGCCCTTTAGTTTTAAGCACATTTCATCCCAAAATAGGAGCAGATTTAAACATTGATTACTTTATCTGATCACTGAAACTTAAATTCCATTCTTGACTAATCCATTCCAAGATTACTTTGCTCACAGCATCTTTTTCTAATGAACTCCCAGCAATAAATGCTGATATTTTCTCACCCTGTTCTTTTTCCCTACTCCCTAACTCTTTTAATATTTCTTAGATCCTAGGCTCTCTGAGGCATTCTGTGGTATCAATTGTTCTCCTGATAGTTTCTAATAAACTAAGCTCCAAGTCACTAAAGACTAGAGATGTGAGTATTAAAAATAATAAAAGAATAGTATATCACCTAAGTGAGCTAAAGAGGAGACTACAAATGAAGCCAGCAGAAGATGGAACAACAATTTTATATAGAAGTGGTAAAGATTCAAAGATGAATCTTATAATTAAAACCATTTCAATTACTTTAAGAAATTGAGCTAAAGACAATTTCTATAATGTTTCATGAATGGTAGCTATAAACAATGAAAAAGCATAGCACAATGTACATATTTATAGAACGTGAAAGAATAATCTTAATAAATGACATTAATAGTGATACGGTTAGCAGAATTATCAATAACCTTAAAGAGCTTTAGAAAACTCCTTATAATGAATATATTTTACCAAAAGTTTCATAACATTCAAAATACTTCCAAAGCCCTGACAATGGTATATGCTATGTAACTTCACAGATATTAAATAACCTTTGTAATATGAATATTTTATTCCTATTTATGCACATATAATAGTTACTTGCCATCACACAACATATATACATATATCCAAATATACATATATATACCTATATCTGTAATGTGTGTGTGTGTGTGTGTGTGTGTGTGTATCCAAATTGCTTATCAGTATACAACATATCCATATCCAAATTCGTTATGAGGATCCAACATTCAGTGGAAATCTCCTATGTATATAAAAAAGCAGGTGACAGGTTTGAAATCAGTGAGTTTATACTCTACACAGAGGGTCAAAAGACACTTCACGTGAACTTTATACTTTTATAGGACATACTGTCATTTGGAGCAAATTAATACAGTCGGCACTGAGTGCTATTGAGCAAAAAATTTTGAGTAGGATACATTTGCCATTTAAACCTATGTTTTTATTCAACAGATAACTTTTGTGGGGTTTAAGGGCTTGAGAACATTCTTGTGCTATATCAAGAACACATGTCCTCTATTACATTGAAATCAGACTAGTGATAGGCTGGACCTTTTGTAGTTCCTTCTACTCATGTTATGTAATGGAACATTTGTAGCTCAGGCTCCTCAGGAACAGGTCCACATATGAAGGAATTTATTTATCACGAACTCAGTGCTTTACAGATTATAAAAAGTTCATTCTAGTTAATTATACTACAACACCGAGTCTTCATTTCTACCATTACCTAATGTCCAAACCAAAATAAAATTTTCAAGATTAAAAAAGCACAAACTCTGGAGTCAGAAGACCTGGAGTTAAGTCCTCGCAATGACCCTTACTATGTGGCTTTTGGTAGGTTAATTAACCCCTCTGAGTCTCCCTATTTATAAAAATGAGATAAAAAAATATCTATCTTACAGTGTTGTGGAGAATAAATTACATACCATATGCAAAATATCTAGCACAGTGCCTGGTACATGGTAGGCACTCAATAAATATGTTTCTTTCTATTTCCATGTGTCCTCAAAGCAGTACACAATTTAGCATAAACCACTGAAAGAATATTATGTTATATGTAAAATTATCAGCCTTTAATAAAGTAAATATTTCTTTATGTTTTCAACTAAGAAGAGATTCTACATTACTATTAATAACTACTTACAATATTTAAGAGAAAAAATGTATATACAAAGCATAAATTATAAAATGGTAAAAGTAATGCACTACAAAAATTATATTTGTACTATGTTATTATATGACTTTTCTCACATCAAGAAAATCTCAAGCAGAATATTAACAATATAATGGCAGATATTTAAGATATTGAAGAAATTCTTACCAATGCTACATAAATTGTCACTATAGGAACTTAAATAAAAATATTCCAAAGAAAAGTAACAAACTAATTATACTTACATATTTCCAATGTGCAAGCTTTCCTGTTTTATTAGTTTCAGGCTGAAAAAAGAGATCCTTAAAGATCTTATCTTCATATCTTTTGTGTATGTAAATCCATTTTGTTTCACTAATAAATTCTTCGTGATGTTTTCTACACAAAAACAAGGGTCTGAATATAAGGGGGGAAATCGTCATTTAGTTTTTTTGCCAAAAGAAAAATAAATAAGAAAACTACTCATGAGTTCACTTACATCTTAGAAAACATGGTGGTAAATTTAATGTAATATTTATTTTCATATCATTACTATATAAAACTACTTAGGCACTAAGGTTTGCTCATCAATATTCATCAAAGAATGAATGAGTGCTGAGAAATCTCTGGTGATATGAATCCACAGACAATTCTGTACTTACATCTGGATATGCATTTTATAATATAATGGCAAGGAGAACATGTCTAAACTATCTATAGAAATATAAAGTAACCAGTACGAACTCTTTGTTATTTTTCCTTTTCAGTGAAGAAGTAACTTTTAATTTCCATCTGGAAAAATTACTCTGGAGTACTACTATCGAAAAGAATATAATGTATATCACAAAATAATTTTAAATTTTCTATTAGGCACACTAAAAAAAGGTAAAAAGAAATAGGTGAGATTAGTTTTAATATTATGTTTTATTAACCCAATATATCCAAAATATTACCTGATAAATGGCATCAACAAACTAAAATCATACTGAATAGTGAAATACTAAATATTTCCCCTCTAAGATCAAACATTAGGGAAGAGTGTCCTCTCTCACCCAACCTATTCAACATTATACTGAGTCCTACTCAGTCCAACAAAGCAATAAGAAGAAAACCATAGACCAATCTCACCTTTCAATACAGATGCAAAAATTCTAAATATTAATGAAAAGAATCCAGCAATGTAAGTAAAGAATAATAACACTATGATAAAGTATTACAAAGCTCATTACATAAATCAATGAAGGAAAAATGTATGATTATATAAATAGATGCAGAAAAGGCATTAGATAAAATTCAGTATCCAATCTTTATTTAAAAATGTTTATAAGAGAGGATATCAAAGTAAACTACTTCAATATCACGGAGACAATTTACAAAAACTCAATAATATTTATTCTATATGATGAAATAGCAAAAACATTTGAATTAAAATGATAAACCAGATAGGAAGTTTACTGTTACCATTACTATTAAGTAGCAAAAGTAAAACAAAATTAACCAAGAAAAGCAATCTTCCCATTTCTCAGAGTTTTTAAGTGGTCTCCATCTATGCATTTCTTCATTCATAATATTTTCACTGATGATCTACAAATTAGTTAGGATAAAATATTGTAAAAGAATAAAATTTATAATGGCTTAAATAAGACAGAAATTTACTTTTCTCTCATGCTGACCAGTCTAAGCTGGTAGGGCAGCTGTGCTCTATCAAGTCATTCAATCTTGCCTCATCATACTCAAAGGAATTGTCATCAACCCACGAAACTGATACATTACAGCCCACGGAACGGACAGACATGAAAACAAAGGGGATATAATTACCATTTAAGACTTGAAGCAGTAATTGTATTCATTACTTCTGCTCACTTACAAATGTAACAAAAATGTAATCAGATGAACACACTTAACTGCAAGAAAAACTAGCTCATGAAATCTCTAGTGGTACCCCAACTGACAAAAAAAAAAAAGAAAATAACAGATTTTCAAGGAAAAATTAGTATTCTGAAAATGACCAATATATGCTCTGTGAAGAGAAGAAAGTCCCTAATACCATGAAGTTTACATTCTCTAACAAGTGGGGATAGATAATATAGAAATAAAACACTAAATATATAATAAGTGAATTACTTTTCACATAGGCTAATCTAGGATAGTATTGCTTAGAAGAAAGAAGATATAGTGGAAATCTCAGAAAAACATTCTAGCATGGCAAACAGTAATACAAAAGGTGAGGCAGAAGTATGCTTAGGAAGGCAAGAACACACTTGGCATGTTAGAAGAACAGGAAGAAGGTCATTGGGATGAAGAGTCACTGCAGAGTTTTGAGCAGATGAGTGGCTTCAAAAAAGATCACACTGGGGAGACAACTTCTGCAACACAGTTGTGTGGAGTTCTATGGATCCTTTCCCCAGTGAAACAACCACAACTGGTGAAAATTATTTTTAAAACAACCATTTAAAATCTCTGGAAATTGTCCTAGGGGCATACAGCAAATAAACAAACATACATTTATTCAAGAAAATTTATTAAGCCTCAGTAAGAACAGTGAGAAACTATGACATTTAAACAACTTGGTCTCTCCTTGCTTTCTTCCCCTTCCCACCCAAGTTCAGACTGACAGAAGTTCCACTCTAAGTAGACCCAGCCAAGAACTTTCCAGTTGAGGGCTACAGTAACTCCGCAAGACTTACCCTATCCCAGGTCCATGTTTTTTTGTTTTTTTTTTTTTAAAGATTTTATTTATTTATTTTTTCCCCCCCAAAGCCCTAGTAGATAGTTGTATGTCATAGCTGCACATCCTTCTAGTTGCTGTATGCGGGATGTGGCCTCAGCATGGCCGGAGAAGCAGTGCGTCGGTGCGTGCCCAGGATCCGAACCCGGGCCGCCAGTAGCGGAGTGCGCGCACTCAACCGCCAAGCCACGGGGCTGGCCCCAAGGTCCATGTTTTAGAGAATATATTCCAGGCAAGAATGGCTGAGAGGTCTTGGGCTCTCTTCTTCCCCTCAGCCCTCACTTGTAACACAGAAGCTCTAACCCAGGTGCAACAAGTAGAAAATACTGGAGCCCTGATTGCCCTTGCCTCCAGCAAGAGGAGGCTGGTAGCTCCATGAGAGTAGAAAGCTAAACTGTTAGACATCTTGAAGTTTACCAGAGACAACCAGGAGAAGAGACAGATAAGAAGAGCACTTCTGGGATTAGAACAAACTGAAAACTGGCCTCAAAGATTACTTTTGTGAAGGACCCAATTTTAAAAGCATCAGATTATGAAGCAATTTATTTCCCAGAGTATTGTTGAAAACAATAGAGTAATCAGTTGGCAATTAATGAAGGCTAATAATAGTTGTAATATCAAAGGAGCTCAGACAACTTAGCAGAGAAATCAGAAAAAGAGACAATCAAAGAGACCCCTGCAAAAATAACTGTTCCCTCAAGGGTAACTACACCTGGCCAATAGTGTGCCCTCTAAGGAGAAATATCAGAGTCTGCCCAATGTAGGGAAAATAGACTTCACTAAAATAGTCCAGCAAAGTCATTAAATGAATAAACAAGCAAACAAGTCCTGGGAGAAGAGATCAGTATCCAGGGTTGTCATAATATATTATCTGAAATGTCATTTTCAACAAAAAATGATGACACAGGCAAGGAAACATAAAAGTGTAACCTATACAGAGAAAAAGAACATACCTTTGAAACTGCCTTTGAAAGGGCACAGATGACAGACATACAGCTAAAGACTTCAAAGCAACTATTATAAATATGTTTAAAGGAAATAAACCTCAAATAAGTAAATAAAGGTATAATGACAACATCTTTTCAAATAGTGATTACTAATAAAGATGTATAAATTATAAAAAAAAGAACCAAATGGAAATTCTGCTGTTGAAAAGTACAATAACTGAAATGAAAATTTTGCTAGAGTAGTTCAACAGTAGATTTTAATATGAAGAAGAAAGAATCAGAAAACTTGAAGAGACTGATAAAGATTATGCTGACAACCAGAAAGAAAAAATAATGAAGACAAGTGAGCAGACCTACAAAGAAATGTAGGGTACCATTAAGTCCACCAACATACGAATAATGGAAGTACCAGAGCAGAGGACAGAGAAAAGAGGCAAAAAAAATATTAGAAGAAGTAATGGTAAAACATTCTAAACTATAATGAAAACATTAATCTATACATCCCAGAGCTCAACAAATAACAAATAGAATAAACACAAAGAGATCCACATCCAGACAAATCATAGTAAAAGTGTTGAAATCCAAAAACAAAGGGAAAATCTTGAAAACAGCAGGAGAAAAATGACTAGTCATGTACAAAGCAACCCCAGTAAGATTAACTACTGACTTCTCATAAGAAACAGTGGAGGTCAGAAGTGACTTTTGACATAGTCAAAGCGCTGAAAGAAAAAACTTTGAACCAAGAATTTTATATTCAGTAAAACTATCTTCCAAAAAAGATGAGAAGAGGTGACATCACCAAGATGGAAACATAAGTTGTTCCTGACTTTGCTCGCCAAAACAACTAACATGGACAAGACACCACTGAGAGAATCCTAGAACAGAGGGGTGAGACTGAAGCACCTCCCTGCACCACAGAGATCAAGACAGACTACGTTAGAAGGGTGAGGAACGGCTACACATTGACCACATTGCTCCTCCCCCAGGCCAGTGAGGCACCACGCTGAAAAGTACCCCCTGAGCCTATGGTTTCTCTAGTGGGAAAGGAAAACACAGGGGTGACATCCCCAGCATTGTGAGTCACTTCATGGGAGCCCCTACTCTAGTCTCACTCATGGGGACCACAGAGAAATCTGCAGAGCTCAACTACTGGGAATCTTATTGCGACAGAAAAGAAGAGAGGGGCTCCCAACAACCAGCACTTGGATTTGGGCAGACTGAGTTCCTACCTGCAGAGCCCAAGTAGTGGCCCAAACCAGCACCTTTGCTTATCTGCAGAACCAAGCTGGTTGCACGGTATGATCAGGGAACTCAGCAGGGCACAGGTCTACCTGATTTGGGTCCTTACATGAGGGGTTTTGCTGGTCCTGGAGCCTGGTCTATCCATGCCCAGGCAGAGGAGCTGAGTCATAGTCACACTCATTTTGGAGCATGGCTCCTGGCATCATCTGACAGGAAATGCTGGCAAGAACACATGGAAGCTGCATAACCCAGTAACTCTTGAGCCAAGAGGCAGGCAGACACAGCTGATTGCTTCCAGAGCAAAGCCAGTACCAGCACAAAGAGTTTCCCTTCCACACCCCAGCTGGGGAGTTCATTCACAGCCTTACCTGCTGCTGAGTGTATTTCCTGGCCCCTCCCAAACAAAAAGCCTATTCAGGAAAATTTGGGAGTTGTCTGAAGTGGGTCCTCTCAGTTCTGGCTAGGCAGAAGAGCTGAGTCATAGCCCCATCCACTGTGGA